ATTGTGGGAGAGCAGATGCATAGAATAAGTCTTAATTCCAGTAACTTAGTCTAGTCCAAGTTGCTCCCCACAGTTCCCCCTTTCTTTTTATTTTTGGTGTTGATACGCACCTGTCTTCGGTGCCCCGCGGCACACACTCTGCTCTGCTTGCTAGAGTTGCCCACAGGTACTTACAAGCCCTACCAATCAGGCAAACCGAATCCGGGTCCTCTCTTTGCCATGTTGTGAGGAGGTTTTTAGGCGCTGATGCATGCCTGTGTTCGGTGCCCTGCAGTGCATGCTCCGCTCGAGCTGCCTGCAAGTGCTTATCGCCTTACTAATCAGGCAGACCGAATCCAAGCCCTCTCGTTGCCATGTTGTGGGGAGGCCTTATTTTTCTCTATTTCTCTATCTCCAGGCATTCCTCTCTTTCCTATTTTACTTCTATCTGCCAGCATTCCTATTTCTCTCATTTTACTTCTAAATTTCTGTTTCTCTTATCCCCGTGGCTTCCCGGCGCCCGCCCTGAGGCGGCTTCCCGGCTCTGGTGGCTTCAGCCCGCGCTTCTCTCATCTGCGTGGCTTCCTGGCTTTGCGCGCGCTCTGCGGTCTCCGCGCCCTTCGTGCCCGCACCACGGCCTCCGCGCCAGCCCCGCACTCTCCTATCTACTTGCCGCCCGTGCGCTCTCTCCGCTTGTGCCCCGCGTGCTTTCTCTGCGCTCGGCGGCTTCTGTGAATCACGGCCTAGCTCACGTTTCCGCTACCAGTCTTCAGTCTAAGAGTTCCCCGGGCCAACCTGACGAATTCCAACCTAGCTTACGTCTCCACTTTTCAGTTTGGCTTCCCATCTTTTTGCTCCCCGGGCTGACTTGACAAATCCCAACCTAGCTTACGTCTCCGCTTCGGCCTGCCCCCGCGGCTTCACTTTCCCTAGCTTATATCTTTCTCTACCTGGTACTTTTCCCTAAGTTTCTTCCAACAATATTTCTCTCATTTCTCCTGGCTTCTCCCCACAGTCCGTATCCCAGTCTGTTTCTTCTAGCTTTCACTTTCACCCCTAGATTTCTCCCGGCACTTTTTCCGTCCGGCTTTTCCCTAAGCTCTTCCCTAGTCTCTCTCTGGTACTTTCCCACTTCTTCCCTCCTAAGTTTCCTATCCGAGTCACAGCACCATTATGTCGCTCCCCCATTCACGGAGGAACGACACAGGACCCTGCGCTGTTCTTTTGTCTGCTCAGCCCTTCCCGGGTTTGCTGCTGGTTCTTCCCGGGTTGGCTGGCAACCCCTCCACCCCCATGGAGGGGCGGCTCCCCCTGCCACTTTCCCCACTTCCGCGGGGGAGCGGCACACCGCCGGCCAGCTCTCTCGGGGGCTGCTCAGATGTTATCTGGATGTTCCTGGTGCATGTTGTCTCTCTCCTCCTTTATAGTCCTCTTCTACCAATCCCAACTCTGCTACCCACACGCCGAGCACGCTGCTCTCCTCCAATCAGGAGCAAGATCAGCTCCTGCAGCTCATCAGTCAAATTGGCAAGGCAGCTGTGTAGAAGTTGTTTCCTCCTCTCCCAGCGCCATATTGTGGGAGAGCAGATGCATAGAATATGTCAATTCCAGTAACTTAGTCTAGTCCAAGTTGCTCCCCACAAAGATGCATATGTTACACGTGGTCAAGTGATCATCTTCAGAAGAAAGAAGGCTGGGACAGACTCAAGACAAGTTAGACTGTTCCCTCTGTCTATTGGTACTTCACAAGATGGTTACTAAGCATTTCAACCATCCATTCTGTCTCCATTTTCTATATACAAGCACCTCTAACACTGCTATTCCTGTTGTGGTGCCAGTAGAATCAATGGACACCTCTTTTGAAGCCCAGGAGAGGAAACAGTTTGGGATAGGTGGGGCACTCAACCTTAAGGATTGTCTTAGGATTATCACAACTGATACAAATGACCAACTCTAGACATAGGGTTAATACTTTAAGATTAGCAATGAGATGCTGTGATCAAGTTGATGTTATTATGGTAGGTGGGTTAGCATTCCTTAATATAAGAGGAATCATGTTATTGTACAAAGAGGACGTCTAACACTTGTCCTACACCTTTTTTTTTTTTTTCCAGATATGCCTATGGTAGAACAGTAAAAGTTTTGTTAGAAATAGGGGCCCAAGGAAATCCAAGAAAGGTTGGGGTCTCCTCTCTTGACCTAACTCCCCCACTTAGAAATGAACATTTTCATCTGCTCACCCTTTGTTCCGCTACAGACTTCTGGCATATCATCTATTATACCTTAATATCTGCAATATTTCTCTTTGTGCCCTTGGAAGAGCTATACAGTCTTTGATCAAAAGTAGGGGCTTTGTTTTCTTTGCATTTCCAGCATCAAACACAGTGCCTGGAACATATTAAGTCCTAAATAAATGTCTGTTCCATCTACGAAAAAGATAGTCTGCAGAGAAGATATTCCACAGAGAAGTCAGTTTCAATACAGAAAAACAATGTCATTGGGAGGCTCTATTTTCTGTCGTAACAGAGTGGAGCCCTATCATTTTTACACTCCACTGATTCATTCTGAACATGGTGTCAGGAACAATACAGGGGCAAAAAACAATTAGTAGGGGAACAAAATAATCAGTTGAACCGTCTGGGATTTGAGCAATGTATAGATCAAATGTCTTAAATTTGCTAAGCTCCTTCTCATTTGGCCAGAATGGATGATTCCTGGCTGCACTGTACCAAGAATAATTGTCCCTCATACATCCCCCATCAGCTGCCTTTTAATGACTAGTCAGAAGTGACAATGCGAAAGGTACAGTGACTTTCATTGTACTTGGCAAATTTTGGACTAATTCCCATGGATTCGCCCTTGGACTAGGTGAGTTCACAGAAAACATGTCTACAAGCTGTCTACAGTCATTGCTCCTTGTATCAAACAACCACAAAGCCCCTGACCCAGGAGGGGACTTCAGAGGAAGACCTCAGATGTATGAAATGACCATTGGTTTTTCACACTTCCTTTGTAGACAGAGGAAGATCTGCAACACCTCAGCTTACATAAAATTGTTTCATAGATATATGAGGTCAAATGACCTTTTTACTTCCACAAACAAACACCAGGGTAAACTACCCTACAAAGTTATTTGTAAAGAGTCCAGTTGACAGACTGACCAGTCCCATTTCGCCTATCTCTGTCCTACCTGGCTGCCTCATCATGTTTCATACTCTGGTCACTGCTGCCTTGAACTCAGTAAAGCTGAATTTAAATTCATTAAGCTCCAAGAAAGCTCCCCTTTTCTGCTTCACCTGGGGTCCTGGATCCTGATTTTGGTCTGATTGTAGATAACGTTTGCAGTTCTCTTGAGCCAGTAACGAAGTTTACCTCACAGAAAAATTCCTTGAGAACACTTTCTTGGCTGTCAAACAGTCCCTGTTCCAGGCCTGGTCCACAATCTCTCCCCATCACATAGCTTCTGATACTCAGACACCTTCTGGCCACTGCTAGTCTTTAGGGAAGACACTGCAGGTCTCTCCCTAGGACATCCTTCCCCTCTGAAGTCTGAGGCCCTGCTACTCTGCTCCATCAACAGAGACCATGCTGCTGCCTTGTGGAATTTCATGACAGCTTCATGTGGAAGGGTCTCAACTTCTTAGACAAATAAACCATAAGCTTCTTAAGGCCAGGAACCATGACTATTACCTATGCCGTACCCTCAAACACTGGAGTTAAACCCCTGGCAAAAACATCGTAACTCATGGAAATTATCCTTTCATAGAAGAGAGGCTCACAATTCACAGCCAGCTTGAGTCTGTGTAACTGGAAGTTAAACAATAGACAACAGTCCAAATACATAGTATACCCTGCCATATGCTTGCCTTGATGGTGACCCTTTGCTCAACCTTTGTCTTTGCCCTTTGCCTAAGCTAAATTTATTCCAAGTATTAGATGCATTCTTGCCTTCCAGCACTCTGGCTCAATCCAAATGGTTAGCCCTCACCTCTCCAGCCACCTGCCATACTCTTTCTTCCTTCCCAATCCAAACTTGGTTCACAAAGAAAGCATCCAGCCCATTTTGGATTTTGATCAGATTCTCAAGTTGGCCATGTTCTCACACCTGTCCCTTGGTACCTGTTGCCCTTTCTGCCTCAAGTAACACCTCTTCTTTGCCAAGCTAACTCCTCCCCCTATTTCAAGGCTGAACTTCTATGTTTCTTCTTTGCAGAAGCTTTCTCTGAATCCTTCAGAACACTGGATCCCTTTACAAAGGCTTGCCAAACTTCTCTGTACCTTCCCCTTGGTGATGTTTCTGAAAATATTACCAAACAATCACTGTCATTAAATATTTACCCTATTTCAGGAATAAAGTCACTGAATCATCATCTGGTGAGGAAGGTGCCCGATTATCTCCATTTTCTAAATTAAGAGATCAAATCTCAACCAAACTGAAAACCTTGATGAAGTTCCTGGCACTCCAGATTTTCATCCAGTCTGCACCCCAAATTCATGCTTTTAATAACCAATACTGCCTCTCGCAAAACCCACCATGTTTGTAATTTGTTACTTAATGGCTAAATATTCCCTTAGTCAGCAAGCTCCATAAACCCAGTGATAGCTCTGTCTTGTTCAGTATTCTCTTCCTGAACCCTGACCTAAGAGCTAAACACATAGAAAGCACTCAAAAAGCCTCTGTTAAATGAAAAAAATTGAAAAATCCAGTGAGTTAGCCCTCTAGGAACCCACAAAGAGAATTAATTCCCTGTCTAAACTGAAGATATTTAATTAAAATGTATTACGATCATAATAAACATTGTATATTTTCCCTTTTTGGTAGGCCAAGGCTAGCCAAATATATTCAAAGATTCCAAAGTAGAACAGATAATACCCAGCTATTAGTGAACTCAAACACTCTTGGTTGGAAGCAAGCAAGCAAGCACACACAGGTCAGTCTAACAGCCTGGGCTGTCCAAGGATATACTTGTAACACCTCACGCTCCACTCAGAGCCCTACAGTCACACCCTCAAGGACTTACCCCTTTCACAGGTTCTTCCCCAGTAGCCGGTGCCAGTGCAGTCGCAGATGAAGCGGTTCCAGCCGTCCTTGCACACTGCATTGTTCTTGCAGGGGTAACTATCACACTGCTTGGCGCTCATCCGGGAGCAGGAAGACTTGACGCCCGCAGCATTCTGCATTTCCGCCAGTTGCCGTATGTTCTTGCTGCGCCCGTCGATGAACAGGTCGCGAATGCAGCCCACATAGCCATAGTTGAGCATGGCAGTCCAGAGCTCGGTGGGGAGGATGAGGCCAGCACGGTTCTCGGGCAGCCCACCTAGGTACATGTCCCCTTCCAGGTCCAGGATCTCACTCTCCCCACTGGCGGTGAAGGGAGTGCGCCTGCTGTTCACTGATATAGTACCTGGGTGGGAGGAGGAGCAGAGTGAGTGGAATCTCGGGTGAGGCTGCTAGGTAATCAACCCAAGGAAGGGAACCCAGCAGGTAGGCTCTTAGATCAGCATTACCTGGCTAGGAAAAGTCGAGCAACGCAAGCAAGGAGATGAAATGCTGCATGATGGTAGAAAGGATTGCGTGAGCTGTTTGGTTCTAGTCTCTGACATCTAAGCCTGCCTAACCCACTAGGGGACTCAGGAAATCCCCAGCGGCCATCCTCCCCTGGTTTATCTTTTCTCTGCCTGACAGTCCTGTCTGCACCTACCTCCCAGCAGTACCTCACAGGCTGTTTAGCCTTACAAAAGTGATTGCACCTGCCTGTGCTTCAATCTCCTTAGCTGTAAAATTAGAAAAGAATTGTTCCTACCTGCCAGTCTGGTGTGATATTAAGTGGTGTAATAGAAGTCAGGTGATTTTAATAGGGCTGAGACAGAACAAGGGCTCTGTAACATTTGCCTGTGTTATTGTCATGGCTCATCAGCCCCAAAAGGTTGGAACTTCTGCCTCTTTCCTCCCTGCACTGATACCCTCTAACCTGGGCATTAACTACAAGCCTTGCCAGTGGGTATTTTGGCATACCCTTTTAAAATCGTATTTATTTTCACTGTATTTGAAAGCTGGAGAGCAAGAGCGAGAGATACAGAGATCTTCTATCTGATGGTTCACTCCCCAAATGAATGTAGCAGTCAGAGCGGGGCGAGAGAGTTCAAGAGCCTGTAACTCAATCCAGAGCTCTCATGTTGGTGGCAGAGACCCATGGACTTGAGCCATCCCCTCTGCCTCCCATGGTGCACATTAGCAGGAAGCTGGAACTGAAAGCAGAGCTGGGATTCAAACCAGGGCTCTCTGACACGGGGTGTGGGCATAGCCACTGTGCTTTGATGTGCTATGAAAAAGCACTGTTTTTAATAGATTGTAACTGGAACATTTCTTTATTCATTTAATAAACATACATGAAATGCCTCTTCTCTCCCTGGAGTAGTTCTAGGCATAGAAAAGAACTCGATGAGTGCATCTCTCCTCTCATTGAGCTGATGTACAGAGCAGAGGGACAGAAAGTGAAAAAAATCATAAGGGAAAATGGCTAGAGAGTGCTATGAAGACAGTGTGGCAGAAGCCCTTGTTTATACTATAAAAGGTAGAATCAGTGAAGGCCTCTCACATGGAAGCTGAATCAGGTGTTAAGGAGGACCCAGCCACGCAGAGAGCAGGGGAGAGACCACACAAGGCAGAGGGAACAGCAGTTTCAAAGTCCCAAGGCACAACAGAGTGTGCCTAGAGGAAAGCAAGCCAGAGGGAGTGAGTGGGGCTTTAAGGCAGAGATAGACAAGGGCAGAACAACGAACACTATCGAATGAGCTTCTAGAAGGTGTGACCTGGCACCTGACTTGGGAGCAGGGATCCCAGTCCTAAAGGCTTTCTGGCCTAGGCCAGTGCGTGCACCACTTTACAACTCAATGTCCTAAACTTCACAATCAAAGGAATGGAGTAGGTGCTATCTACACATCTTGCTGGAAGTTTTAAAAATGTATATTTATTACTGCTGAAGTGATTATGGGTAGCCAGGTGGCCGAGCAGGGCCGGCTATCTGTCAGCCTTCACTTCTCAGTCTCATCCCCTCAGTTGTGAAAGGTACAGCCTGAAGGGCAGTGGAGAGCAAATGAGATCATGAAAACGAAGTGCACTCTAAATTACAATGTCAACAGAGAGAAGAGGAGGAAGGCCCTTCGGGGGCTGCGAGGTGGGCAGTGGAGGCTGACAATCTACTTTCCTGATTCTTTCGGAGTGGTTTTCTCTTAGAGAAATGGGCTTTGCGTGTTTGCTGCTTAATCTTTCAAAACCTGCACGATAATAAACATTTCCTGGCCAGCATCTTTAGCGTTTGATGTGCTCTTTTGGACTTCATTCCCAAAACAAGCTTTAAGGTATGAGTGGTGAGTTTTTCTATTTTATAGATAGGTGAGCTTTGTATCTCTGAACTGTCTTCTCCCTTTCAGTTTCCCTTCTTCACCCCAGATATAGCTACAGGGATAATGTGATCAGCAGCTAAAAGGGAGAGACATTAATTGCCAGCTAAGGACAGTACTGGCATCGATTTAAATTCTGGAGACTTCAGTACATCCTAAGGAAAATCTACCCTCCGAAAGTGTGACTACAACAGTGTAGAATACATTTATCAAGTCTTAAGACTCAGCTCCCCATCCTGGGGAGTGGTCATAAAAGTTTTTAGTTCCCTTGGGGCAGGCTCTGTGGCGTAGCAGGTAAAGCCACTGCCTGCAGTGCTGGCATCCGTTATGGGCACCGGTTTGACACCTGGCTGCTCCTTTTCCAATCCAACTCTCTGCTATGGTCTGGGAAAGCAGTAGAAGATGGCCCAACACCAGGTTCTAGTCCCAGTTGCTCTTCTTCCAGTGCAGCTCTCTGCTGTGGCCCCGGGATGGCAGTGGAGGATGGCCCAGGTGCTTGGGCCCTGCACCCACATGGGAGACCTGGAGGAAGCACCTGGCTCCTGGCTTAGGATCAGCCCAGCGTGCCGTTCGTAGCAGCCATTTGGGGGGTGAAGCAACGGAAGGAAGCCCTTTCTCTTTGTCTCTCTCACTGGCTAACTCTGCCTGTCTCAAATAAAAAAAAAAAAATTAAAAAAAAAAAAAGAGAAGATGGCCCAAGTGCTAGGGCCTCTGCACCCACATTTGAGACCCAGAGGAAGCTCCTGGCTCCTGGCTTCAGATCAGCCCAGCTCCCACTGTTGCAGCCATCTGGGGGGTGAACCAGGGGGTGGAAGACCTCTCTCTCTCTCTGCCTCTGCCTCTCTGTAACTCTGCCTTTCAACTAAATAAATAAATATTTTTTTAAAAAGTTTGTAGATCCCTTCACAGTCATGTTATTCTCAGTGATGATTAGGGAAGGAGGTGCCCCACTTAGATACACTCGATTTTATAAATACCAGTTTTTGCATATGCCTATAACTAAAAACAGACTATCAGAAAATATTTTCATGAAGACATGAAGTTTAATGGATCATATGAAAATTTTAAGTTACACTGCTTTCAGGGGATGAGTATTTGTTTACTCAGTAAGTTTTTACAGGCCTTGATCAAACTCATCAATACTTCAAAGAATAGCCAATGCTATAGCCTCCAGGTATGGAATTCAAGTCTGCTGGACTCCACACTTACTTGTTTAAGGCGGGTACACTGATGGTTCTAACAAAGTAAAACAAAACTGCTACACTGCTTGAAAAAACAATTAGTGTTAGGAATAAACCGGATACACTTAGGACAATTATAGTCTAACTTTTTGGTTGTGTCAAGGTCTAGGCTAATCAGACAAAAAATCCTTCAGTTACGAGCCAACTCCAGAGACCTCCCAGGGTTTTAATAATATTGTTTTGGTAATTCTGGAACAGGTGTCTGGTTCTGCCCTTGCTTACATCTTGTTAATAGAGAGAAACAGAGAGAGATAGACTGATATATATTTTTTTATTTCTCTGTTAAAAAAAGCACAAACTGTTCATTCTTGCTCAACAAGCACATTTAATTTGGAGCTTCTTGGTTCTGATCAAATTCCAGACAATCAATAAAGATTCCTACTGGGCAATACAACATTCAGGCTACAGAGCGCCAGCATCTGCCCTCTGCACAGAGCCCACCCAGCTCCTCCTAAGGGCATGTTGCTCATTACTGCCATCGATCCAGCTCTGGGATTATGCAGAAAAGCCACCTCACAGAAGCTCAGTCATTCTGGCGTCAGCTTTGGGGGACCTATTATTTCTCTACTTAGACAAATGCAGCTAGAAAGAAAATGTCCAAGTGAAGACTTCTTTATGTTCACCAGAGTGTAAATCCCTAGAAACAAGGCAAGCGTGGCTTAGACCCTTCCGGAGTATGTACGACCTAAACGGAGAGTCAGAAAATACATCTGAAATTCAAATGCTCTAATTACTGCTCTTGGGGAAATGTCCTTCCTGCTAGCACAGAATGTGACCTTCACTGCCACATGGTCACAAAAAGCGAGGCAGGCTGTTCAGCATTCAGAAGCCCCAAACTCTCTATTTGTGTTTCTCCCTCTCTACGTTACTGTTCCAGAGTGGCTATGCACTGCCTCGGGCTAGCGTGTTTGATCTGTGGCTGCAGAAATAAACAAAGCCATTTAAACCAAATATAAAAGCATATGAACAGGAAGGGAGAGTTAGTGAGGTCTGAGCAAAGAGTGAAATATAGACTTTCACACCAAAGAAGGCTTTAAATTGAACATGACTTCAGGAAAAATCAATTTGCCTTTTCCTTTCTTGTCATAATTTCTCTGCAACATGACTCTTGCCAGTTCTTGAAGTGTGTATTGTTGCATAAACTCTTTGCTTGGTGAAGCTTATTCTATCTACACTGTCATCACAGCATCTGTGATGTCACAATTGGTTTCTATGGTGATGAAAAGGGGTACAACAAGAAGAAAGAGAGGGGAAAATATCACACCAGTGACATGACAGTTGCTTTGGTAGCAGAGGCAATGCCACTTGTAAAACCCTCCTTTGTTCCAAGGTCTTAGAGCTAAGGCTGGAACAACGGTGCTGTGAATGACAGGGAGGACGAGCAGGGGAATGAGCCATTTCTGAGACACCTGTTTTGTTCAGATACATAATCTTAGGACAACCATTAAAGGGAATATCCAAAGAAAAAGCATGCAAGTGCAAAAATTAAAATAAAAGATATGCAGCCACGAAAGAAACCGAGAAGCCAGAGCTAACCTCTCATTTCATTCGCACACCCTACCTGATCTGCCATCTCGCTGAATGTCCACGTGGTACCATTCCCCATCATTGGCTTTCTTCTGAGTGGCTTTCACCTTGATGGTGCCTGAGCCCATATCAAGCAGCAAGTACAGGTTGCCATCAAGAAGTTCCACGGCAAAGAAGTCTACTTTAGTGTTCTTCTGGCTCCGAGCATCCTTTCTCTCCTGGGGCTTTCCGTGAGTGAAGAGGATCAGGCCGTTGGGCTCGGTGGTGCGGAAATCAAAGGAGATGGAGCCCATACGCTTGGTGTTCCACTTGGGTAAGCTGATGTAAGCCTCTGGGGTCTCAAAGTTGATGGGGTCCAGTGTGGCCACATTCTCACACTTGAACACAACTTCACCGTAGATTTTCATCTTGGTATCCCCAATTCTGGCCAGGCGAGACAGCTCCAGACGGATGTCATTATTCTTATAAACAACCTGTCAAAAGCCAAACAAAAGTGCCATAGGAATCAATCTTGCAAAAAGTATCTATCCATCACTCACTGGACATCCAGAACGGAGGTCCAAAGAAGAGGCTTCAGGACGTAATAGTCTGAAGCAACATGAAGAACATGAGACACAGCACTGATAAAAGCAGCTGAGGAGACGTCTGGGGGTGCACACAAGCGATGAATAAGCCTCTGCATTTTTATGGGAACCCTTTGTCTGTCTCCTTCTGGAAAATATCTTATGTTGTCAGAAGACCATGCAATATGAACTTGCAAGTAAAAATCAAGAGAGACTGAGCTGCAGGGAGCCAACTAATTATGATATACAAAGATTTTTACAGAGGCAACATCACTAAAAGAAAGGAAATAGCCTAACTGACCACCAATAACAGATGCTACATCTTTACTATGGAATACAATGTAGGCCTTAAAAAATGGCCTATTTCTTCTGATTTTCACATGGAAAATCTCCAAGTCATATTTGGTGCAATCGGCAAAGAACAGGACAAAATGTGCACTCTGCTGTCACTGTGTGAAAGCATGGAAGGGGTTTAGGAGGGTGTTATGTATGTTATATGCATATATGCTCTTTTGTGCATAAAACATTTTTGAAAGGAAAAACAAAGAACTGTAAAGTTGTCATCAGGAGTGAATTTGTGAGATAAATACTTGAAGTGTGAAAGAGACATATATACACATACGCATCTATTTTTAACCATGTGACTATATTACTTTAAAAGCATGGCAATGAGCATTTTGTCTAGTGGTTAAGATGTTGCTCGGGACATTGTAGAGTGCCTGTCCTGGTTCCACCCCCAATTTCAGCTTCTTGCTCACGTGCACTTGAACAGATGACGGCTCAAGTAGTTGGGTTCTTGGCATCTACATTGAGACTTGGACTGAGTTTCTAAGTCCCAGCTTTGGCTTGGCCCAACTGGCTGTTGTGGGCATTTGGGGAGTGAGGCAGCAGATAGGAACACTCTATATCTCTAAATCTCTATGTCTATCTTTCTGCCACTCACTCAAATAAAATGCATTTTAAAACATTTTTAAAGAATGATTGTTAAGAGTTGTTAGAGAGGGGCCAGTATGTGGCATAGCTGGTAAAAGCTGCTGCCTGTGACGCCAGTATCCCATATAGGAAGTGGCTGCTCCACTTTCAATCTAACTCCTTGCTAATGTGCCTAGCAAAGCAGTAGAAGATGGCCCAAGTCATTGGGCCCCTGCCACCCACATGAAAGACCCAGATGAGGTTCTTGGCTCCTGGTTTTGGTATGGCCCAGCCCTGGCTGTTGTGGCCATATGGGGAGTAAACTGGCAGATGGAAGAGCTCTCTCTCTCTCTCCCTCTCTGTAACTCTGGCTTTCAAATAAGTAAAATCCTAAAAAATAAAGAGTTGGTGGAGAAGGGGACTGTGGCTTTTGTTTAGTTTTTGAATATCATGTGCCTCTGTATGGTGGTAGAATGAGATATTCTGAAAATCTAATTTGATCAATTAGTTGATATTTTCTGTAAGTAAAATTATCTGCTTCTACCTATCTACTTCTGCATTGCCATGGCCTATGTCCTACACAAAGGAGTCATGGAATATGAGGATGCCAGTTAGAAAAATCTATTAGGACTTTCTAAACCTGGTATAATCCATATAAAAGCAAAGATTAATCTCATTTCCCAAAATTAGCATTTCAAAAAGCATTCGCTCATATTAGAACTGAATATAGATGTAGTGCCCTGGGATGTTTCCTGGTGCTCTGAGCTCTGTGCAATGTCACATCCACACAACAATAACAAGCACAAATAGGTGGGAACGGGACTAACATCTGAGTAACAACCACATCAACCGCTTTGCAATTCGTCCACGTTATTCTAAGTCAGGATTCAAGTTCAGGTTCTGACCCTCTATTCGCTACTTGCAAGCTGAGTGACCTTGGAAAAGCAATTTCTCCAGATCTATTTGCTCCTCTAAATTACAGACTACAGGAGTAGACTACTTTGTAAGTATTAAATAATCCAATACATGAAAAACACCTGAAATGGCACACGGTAAGGGCACAGCAGTCTCAGCCTCATGGGGCAACGGCTGCGGCTCCTGTGCAGCATGTGTCATTCTCTGCACAGTCCTGAGAAGTCTGTATCACCACTTCTGTTCTCAACAAAAAAATAAAACCCTTAAGTGCTCAAGTAAGTCTCTCAATCTTTCTCTGTGAGAGAAAGTTAATTGGACGGATCATTCCAGCACATATCATTTAATTCATAAGATTCAACTGGTGGACTATTTTCCTTGTTTCCCCTGTCAGCAGCAGGAAATCAAGCAGAATTACTTGCCTTTTAGTAAGTTTTATAAGAGTAATATACAAACCATGCAAATATTTGAAAATGCCTCAGCTAATATATAACCTTGATGTTGGAACTAACCATAGTCAATAACATGGAAAATAATAAAGCTAACGTGTATTGAGCACCTCCTACTAGGCAACGTGATATGCATTTAATATCCACCATCCTCTTAGATTCTGAAAACACCCATTTTTAATACCTTTAATCATTCCTTCATTTTACAGATGCAGAAACAGACACAAAGAGTAGTTATGGGAACAAAGACACACAACTTTGTGTGGCAAAGTGGCAGAGTAGGACTCAACCCCAGGCAGTTGGCTTCAAAGTCTGGGTGCCTTACCACTGCACATACTAGAGACAAGGCCCCACCAGCAGCACCTGTGAAGCTCACCTTCACCATTAGATGGAGACTCATGCATGGCCAACTACCCAGCTGAGAAGCAGAATTTTTCATTTCGTTCTACTGGACTGATCATGTGCAAAGGTGTCCTGAGGCAATCACTCAAGTGAGTGAACCAGAAAAGAAACGAGTTCAACAACTGGCAGCTTCTGCTTTCTGACCCCCACTGTGAGTCTCAGCTTGGGAGATCTTTGTGTCAGAACCAAACTGGCTTTGTCTGTATTTGGGTGAAATGCCTATGACTGGAGTGCCTTGTAAACGTTAATTATTGATGTAGGACAACAGCTGATCCCAAAGGGACGAAGGCTTGGCTTCAGTGAACAAGAACTGGAAACAGGACCATGCATCTCCATAGGAGGCTGGGAACAAAGAGGAAAATAGAACAAGGCCTTTTAGAGGGATTCAGGGATTGTTAAAAAAAATAAATAAAGCCAGCTCTTGTGTGAGAAGGTGTGCAGCTGCAGCCTGTAACAGAGGGCAAATAGCCAGATGTGGGTTACCTGAAGGAAGCAATGGAGAATCAAGGGACAGAAACAGGCTGGTGAGAGAGAGGCAACCTTCTTTCAAATGTGCTTTGAAAGTGAGCCCTCAACCTTTTCCATGGCCCTGAACTTGATTGTCTGTTTGTACAGAGTTTCCACTAAGACAAATGGAGAACTAATGCCTTTCTCGGTGATGGTCTGGTAAACTTCCTGAACTCATTACAAAGGTGGGAGCTTCCAGACCTGTTCTTCAAACTCCCTGCATTCCACCAGGGCTGTTGTCAAGATCAAACGGGATGCTCTAACGGTAGAACATGTTCTAAACCAGCACAAAAGCATACGAAGAAATAACCCTACATATTCATCTCTCTAGCAGCATGGAGGCTCTGTTGGAAACTGTCAGGGACCCAGAAGTCTCCCAAGCCCTCCTACCCTGAGGAAAGAGATAGGAGGGCAACCTGCTGCAGGCACCCTCACCTTCCCCATCCAACCTGTGCAGAAACCACAGTCATTTGCAAGTGTGCTCCCGACTTGGGGAAGTAGCGTGGAGGCAGCAAGCCCTGCTGGACTCCCTCCCAAGGCAAATGAGCATCTGCTACAATGTTCTCTGCTCCAATCACACTCTCAACTAAATGAATGTCCTCGACTGATTGACTGGACTAGGAAGAGATGCAGCGTCAAATGACAGAAAGTAGTCTTGGCTGACAAGTGGCCCCGCCGAGGAGCAATTACAGATAAAGTAGAAATGGTTCCCCATAGGGGAAGATGTCATACAGCCTGGGAAGCAGAGAAGCAGGGTCATGAAGAGTGACAGCCTGATCTCATGACCCCACCCATGCTGTTTGGACCTGTAGTAAGAATCTAAGGTTAGAGGCAGTCCGCATTCATAGACAGAGCCTCCTTCCTCCTTCTATCTTTGTCACAGACCACTCTGTTCTCAGCTTCCTGGGAACACATTACCACAATCTTATGCAGTATAGCAAAAGAACTAGAACAGATGAGTGGATGTGGATATGGGGGCTGCATGGCCCAGGTGGCTGCCTGGCATTATGTCTTCAGTTGAACAATAGGAAGCTTACCACCGGGCCTACACATTTTCTTGTGTGTGTGTGTGTGTTTTTTTTTTTTTTTAAGCATCTTTAATCTTCTGGAGATGTATATAGGCAACAATTTCAATATAGCCATGAGGTCAGCTTACAAGACTAAATCATTGATAGGCCCATGACTTGGCTACTGAGGACCACTGCACTGATCTGGGCCAGTGGAGGATACTGGAAGGTAAAGACACCAAGGGGCATTCTCTGAAATGCCTAGGCCAGACAGATGAGAAGCAAGTATCAAGGTAGCTCAGATGGAGCGCTTTGCTCACTACAAGGAAAAGCCATAGATCTATTTATCCCCCACCAAAATTTAATCATCTGACCACAGATAATGAGGAAAGGAACTTTTTCTCTTCAGCTTCCAGTATGGTGCAGCTTCTAGAAAAAACTTTCAGCTAATCTTACTATTGTGTAACTTACCTACTCAGGATAAAATAAAAATGACGAAGCAACATTATGAAAGAATCTTGCTCCTGGGGTCTCCACAGCTTCTAATGTCCCTGTCCCACTTCTCCTTCTATCCCTCAGGCAACAGTGACTCCACTGTGCTGTGATGTCTCCCTCCTCTAAGCAGGCCACCTTGTTCATTTTTCACTTACAGCACTGGCTTCATCATCTTTGAATGATGAACCTGAAATAAAACTGTATAGATACTTAATCCATGCTCATA